GAACTGATATCTACCTAGGTAACAAAAGAGATAAACAATATGGATGAACTTTTAAAAAGTTTTTTTTTAATTTGAACAATGACCACACACCAACATGGGCATTCCACAGCTTCAATCTAAAATATATTTTTTCCCTACCTATTCTCTGGTAGTCTAAGAGGCTATACCAGCTATGCCCGGCCGGGTAGGTGAGCTCACGGGCTCAGCCTGAGAGAATTTGCTAACACTAGCAAGAGCAGTATTTCGCAGAATTTACCACCGGATCGGAATCGCGAACCACTGAGAAGATCCAGCGTGAAACTCAGTGGGCTCAAAAACTATCTAGAGTGCGAGAATGTATCCCAATGTATATATATGAATCCCAAAGTACCGTGTTTTTGCCTTTTAATAAAAAAAAACATTATTATTTATATAATAACAAAACAGATATAATCGACCCAGACGAGAAGCAATTAGTTATCTCACAATAACTGCGCGAAGTATGTAAAAACTGATAAGATTCAAAGTTATTTATTTACGCGCCGAAGTTAAAGTTGGTGGCGTGACGAGAGCATTGCTGACGAAACTTGTGTATGTTAATGTGGAAGACAGGTGGCCGAGTGCCTATTTCTGTATCTGGTCCTCCAGATACAGAAATAGGTGTTAGGTTACGCAATTTTAAGCATCGTGCTGGATACAGGGCTATAAATGTAGCAACGAATGCGGAACCACCATGTTTAAATCGCATTTAAAAAAAGATACGTTTTTTTGGTCTTTTACCCATTGAAAATGTTTAGGTATCTTAAAAATTGCGTTTCAAAGTGCATATTTTTACGAATTTATAAATTTATTTTTGTTTAAACGCTTAGCATATTTTTGTAGCTGATTTACGAACAGGGTGCGAATTATAAATTCAATGAAGCGCTCTGTTCGTACGTAATAACCTTGTCCTCGTTTCCGCGATTATATTTGCAAGTCTTAGTGCTTGCTGCATGCTTTCAATTAGTATTTTTTCACTATAAATAATATCTGTTTCTGTATAAATATTAGGCAATCAAATGAAAAGTTGAAATGTACCTAACGCAATACATAAAATAAATAGACATTCAGAATTTCACTACCACACAAAAAAGGTTAATAAATTGAGTATGGTTATTTTTGTTGCGATACTAAAGTGGAAAAACTATCAGGTTTTCGGCAGCTATTTAAAAATATTAATAATTAATCACAAAAACGAAATGAATCTTAATTATCGCTTAGGTCAGAGATTGGATCGGGATAGATAATTGTGCGAATTTATTTAGAGATTTCGACACATATTAACCTGTTGCATTTTTAACACACAAATTATTTATGAATTAATCACTAAATATGTTTTGTCTTCATTCATTTGCCCTTTTAGTTTACATAAACATAAAATATAATGTATTTCTTTCATTCTGTGTAGAGTGCAGGGAGGCCGGATCGGCAGGGGCGGTAGTCTGCATACCTACCTACTCCTACCCCTACCCTGCCTCTGTTATCGATCTGTAAGCGACCTATTCGACAGGTCGCCTAGTACCTACATCAGTAAGTTGCATAGAAACAATAATGCTGATGTTGTCTATTTTAATATTATACAAGTAAGACAAATTCAAAGAATATTTCCGAAAATAAAGAAACATGTACTTCTTTGTTTGAAAGGGACGTAAGACCGCTTTTGTGCAGGGTGCATATTGTTGTTTGAAAAAAAAGATTCGAATTGCAGGTAGCTTATTCTTTTTTCTTTTTTTTTGTATTCGCCTTTTCGATTTAACATACATACAAAAAGGAGTATTAAGTATACACTTCCAGCCGGAAAGGTTTTTTATTCCTTTCAAATGCACTTTGCCGTCCACCTGACCGAGTTGTCACCATCTTTCATGGACACCAATTCTAGGGTGATAGCATGCCATAGTAGTAAATAAGATTACATTCAGATCGAAGAAGGACATGTTATATAAAGAAGTTTATTTTAGAACCGAAAGGTACTTATGTAGAAAAATGGCTATGGGAGTACACTGTGGAAGAATTACATTGTTCCGGGAATATGGGATTAATTCCGCTGTGACAGTGCACAATGCGCTGATGGAATGAAAATAGACAGATTGTCATAAACCGTTCCTCAGAAAACTGTTGATGGAACATATGTAAAAAAAAAAATAGGGTTACACATTCCAAAAGATCTCAAATCGAGTCAAATTTTTTACGAGCTGCCCAGAAATAGAGCTGTTCTGTTGGTTCATCTCGATTTATTCTTATCAGGATTGTTGGTGGACAGTTCGGTAATTCATTTCTACCATGTTAATCAAACATATTAAAACTAGACTTTCGTCGCGTTGTGGTTCATACATAGTTCTCCTGAATGTCAATAGTAATAAGTAAATTTGTAAGTGTGTCAGACAGAGAGTTAGGAAATCGGAACGATATTTATATATAATCTCAAACGAACTTAGTCCTTTGTTATGCTTAACTTACTACATATCATTTTGGTTATTCACTTTTTTCTAGCCCAAGTCTTTACTTGAATCGCGTTAGAAGACAAACCTCGGAAAGGAAAAGAATGCATGAATGGTTCGCGGCAGCATTAGGCGGTACGGTAGTAAAAAAAAAAGAAAAAGGATGTCGGTACCCATCCGCGCCGCTTTATAACACACCCTACTATCAGATGAAGCATTTGCTGCATAATACATCTTGTCATAGTGTTTATTTCGGAAAATCGACATAAACTTTACAAAACGTGACAAGATGACGAGATTGAGTACCTTACGCAACCAGGCTGGGGTGCTTTTGGCAATTTAATAATTCGGTGTTCTAGGGTAAATTCCGCACTATCTAAAGTCTAAACCATCTAACTTTCAATCAATCTATCTCCATATTCGTCGAGCACGCTATGGAATAGAAAATGGGTACTCACCAAGCACAGCAGTAGAAGCCTCACTAACATGGCAAAAGACTAAAGCTCAGGGAAAGTGGCAGTGGGCAGACCAGACAAATGCCATACGAATAACCTTAGATGGGGCAGTAGATTATTGTAGTTACCTTGAACTGAACATAGAAATGTAGGCAGGTGACAATTAAAAAGGTCGGATGATTTTTGGAGTGGTGGTTAAGACCTGGATATGTATAGTTCAAGACCATTAAGTTAGTTCAAGTCACAGGTGGAAATCAAAGATGAGACTTATACTTAGCATTGGCCAGCTTATGGTTGAAGAAGAAGAAGACGACTTGTCATGTATTAACCATGTTAAGATACCAAATTATGCCAATTTACCTAAAAACTATATAGGTACAATTACAACTTACTATTATGTCATAAAATAAAACCCACAAAATTTAAGTCACAATTACTGACAAGGCCTTGAGAATTCATCTGTATTTTAAAAGATAAAACACACATTACTATAGTACAATCTCAAGTATCAAAGAATTTCAAAGTGCAGTAGTATTCACATTATGATATTTGCTCTCCACCATTTACCAAGATCGAACACTCAGTTTTTTCGGTCATATAGTTCGGTCACCAAGGTAGATTCTGGAAAAGCTTCCTATTCTTTGTTAAGTGGAGGGGAAACGAGCAAAGACAGGACATAACAAGATGGTCGGAGTCTATACTGAGTTGAGAGACTGCATTCAACAGGCGCCCTATTGCCAACCTTCATACAAACTTAGAAATGTGTGGTTGTGATCCTTAGTAATGTGGGAATAACAAAGAAGAAGAACCACTGCATATGCAAAACAAAGATGCTGGAGTTTTATTATTTTAAATAGTCATAATGGCATTCTTAGCTTGTTCTCATCCTAACAAAAAAGGGACAGCTTGAAGTATCAAGACCATTCAACTCAGCAATCGGCTGATCTCTGCAGACTGTTGAGGAGATTCACCCTCAGCTGGGTGAATAGTTCCTGACACTGGTCTAAGTGGAGTGATTTCGCCAAGCTATTGACCCCTTAGGCACCTAGCACCTCTACAAGTACTCTTATAATCTATGACAGAGTTAAGAAGAGAACTCTGAACATATTCCAAATTTAAACTTAGTTTAATATTTCAAATGATTCTTAAACAGAATTAGTTGAGCCAGTCAAATCCAAATAATTTCAATGCTCTTGGAATTTTGCAAGGATGCTTCTTAGAAATGCAAAACTAAGACAATGGAGGAGTTTCACAGTAGAAACTCTTAGCCTAAAAATACTTCTGTTCATATCAAATTATGATTTTATGAAGCTTAAACTGTAAAAGTTACATAGGATGAAAAGCAAAAAAAGTCTAGAATGAACTATGGATGAGTATAATGTTTCCAAGTAATGTGAAAGCTCTCTGCTTTCGTGATGAGCAATGTTAAATGGAGATGGAATCATCTAGTATTTGAAAGGCCTGGCCTAGAGATGGTAACTCTACTCCCGACAGGGCCAGCCCTGTACTTTTTAGTGTCCAAGTGTCAAGTGCTGCAACACTCTGTTAAGGATCTAAGCATTTTAGAAGGCAACTTGCCTTTATCTTCAATATGACTAATTGAGAAAACTGGTGAAGACTGAACCCAAGAAACAATAGACAAAGCATTCCAAAACCAACATTGTCAATTAACCTATGAAAAATACATTCTATACTATTTTTATTCCACGGTATTGTTAATTTTTTTACTGTATTTGTAAGGTTTTTAGCAATTTTTAATTGTCATCTTGGTTTAATTTTTTTAGATGTGTACAGATTTAATTCTCAATAACGGAGTTACATCATGACCTTCTGTTAAATAGGCGAGTTTGCATCATAAAACAATTGCGACGTAATCAATACCTGCAGATAGCAATTTATTTTCAGACAATTTTACTACTTACGCTTTTTGATCCGACAGAAAACTTACTAACTAGCGTAGGTCAAATACGTATTCATTGCAAGATAGAATTGGCATTCAATTAAATGAATGTGAAACGTTTTAAAATCTATGTGTACCGTTGTTCTTTTATCCATTAATCAGAAGCAAGGTTTGACAAAACTAACTAACCGAATTTTGCTGCAGATTGTTTATTCCTGGATTAATTTTTAAATTCACTTCACTTTAAAAGTTCGTCACTATTTGAAAATATTTTCACACTAGAATTTTTTCTTATAAAATTTTCAACCACTAATTTGTAGGTACTTGAAATCGAACAAATTACAAAACAGCTGTAATGCTGTAGATATTCATTTCTACAAAACTAGCCATAGATAAAGTGACATAGTGAAAATTTACTTTTTTTATCATTGTGCGGCCTTAGACATGTATACTTTGAGTTCATTATTGGATTTTGCTACACTTTTTCAGGATATTATAATATTTTTTTTTTTCTTAAAATATAAGGTCTCTTTTTCTTGTTCTGTACTCAAGCCATCATATTATAATTTTTCTTTATGTTAGTAGCCTAAGTTGTTATGCCACAAGTAATATAACAATGGAAAAAAGTGTACATTTAAAAAAATAAGAAAGAGCAACCTAAGAACTTCAATCTTCTTCTAAGTAATGTTTTTGTAAATATTTAGGTTATTTAAATGATAAAAACTCGAAGAAATTATTGAAATCTGAGGTCAAAAACATTAAGTGTTTTTTTTTTTTGACTGAGAGGGATGCTCTACTGAACTCCCCTAAAGTGATTTTGATAACGAATTTGTACAAACGAATTAAAGTACGTTATTATACATTTGATTTCTCTTGCTGCCAAGCATGATTTGATATATGTATTTTTTGTTTTGAAATTAAATCTTCCTTATTTATGGATTTAAATGATAAATTGATCGGCCAAATAGTTAACCAGGCTAGCTGATGTTTAGTGTTTTCTAAAGACGGAAGTCATCGTGGCCTAAAGGATAAGACGTCCGGTGCATTCGTGTTGAGAGATGCACTGCACCGATGTTCGACTGCTAAACGGGTACCCATTTTTCTAATTGATTACGTCTTCAACAAATGTTCACGTTTGACTTCCACGGTGAAGGAATAACATCGTGTAATAAAAAGCAAACCCGCAAAATTATAATTTGCGCAATTACTGGTGGTCAAGAGGTCCGTGAGTCCGCATGGGTAGGTACCACAGCTCTGCCTGTTTCTGCCGTGATGCGTTTCGGTTTGAGGGGTAGAGCAGCCGTTGTAACTATACTTGAGACCTTAGAACTTATATCTCAAGGTACCCACCTTGCACCACCCACCGGAGCTCGTCCACCCATCTAAGCAATAAAAAAAGGACTAAAATAGTGAGTCAACAAGCGAAAATAGACTACAAATTATATAATCAACTCAAAAAACAAGAATGTAGTAAATCTAGATGTAACATATTTATCTAATAAATAAAAAATCAATCCCCCACAAAATCAAACCTAAAAGTAGATGCATGCATGTTCGTGTTTTCTATAAATACTTACGTTTAAAATTCGTAAAAAGTAAAGAGCAATAGATTAATTTAAAATAAATGTTTATTAATTTTTTTTAACATAGTATGTACATTATGAAAATCATTATTTCAAGGTGTAAAAAACGTTCTCGAGTCCGGTACTGAAAAAAAAAGGTACGTAAAAAAAAAAAAAAAAGGTAAAAATTAAACGGAAAATAATATAACGAATTTACTATGTAAGTATACGTAGGATTACTTGCTCAGTGGTAAGTATTATGAATAGGCAAAGATACAACGTTTCAAGACCTTTCGTCTTCAGGATCAACTAGTTGATCACTAAACATATTTTTAACAGTTAACTAAACAGGTATTTTTTTATTTACCTGTACAAAAAAATATGCCAATAACAAAACAAAAGAATCAATGACTATGGACAAAAAAATCAAAATCCCCTGTTCGCATCCTCTATAGACCATTGTATCCGCCCCATAGTTGATTTTCAATTGTGTCACGCAAATATAAAAAAATGTGATTTTTAGTGCTATCGTAACTGAAATGACTAGTAGGTACTACCACCCGTCTTTCTTTTCGGGTACTATACCAATACACTGTCATAATAACGTATACCTATATATATACCATTTATTTAATTTCACTTCCCGAATATTACGACAAACAATGTAGTAAATCTCAATCAAAATATAATTTCTTTGTACTTTAAGGGTCTCACGGATATAATGTGTAACAGAAGGCGGAGGCATATTCTGGCAACTGGGTATGTAGTATGGCGCTGGTCAGACTGCATAGCTTAAATGTTTCTGCCTGCCATAACAGTTAACTTCAGTAATACAACAGACATTTTTTGGTCAGAATGTATCTCTTATATAATATACGTCTAAGCATAGCTGCACCAACTATTGTTGCGCTTTTAGTCACTCATCATCTCAAAAATCGGCAGTTTTATGTACAACTTGTAATACTTGCATGGATTTCGTATCGCTTGTTTTTTTTTTCTAAAATTTAATATTTTAGGCTGAACTAGCACAAAATCCGATTCACATTGTTGACAACCTCACGATGTCTTCATAAATATTTATCAATATCTTTATAAATCTCGAAGTCGTTTTCACATGTTTTATCTGGTGACAGCGAGTAATCTTCATCTTTGGAAAGACATAATTTTTTTAAGATTTCGGATGGTGATGGCATGTTTTTGTCTACAAGAGGAATACTGTCCATTAACTCCTCTAAGTTGGAATCCAAGCAAGGTGCGATTTTATTGTTTTTCGTAATTTGAGTCGGACTCTTTAATTCTGTAATTTGTTCAGGCACGTTTCGGTTGAATGTGTCATTGATGAGATTAAAATTGTCAGCTTCCATATCATCTAAAGATAGTTTAGCACCGGTGAGAACTAGTTCAGCGTTTGCTTTTGAAACTTCTCTAAAGTAATTATCATGATTACTTCGCTCTTCCTTGTCGTTTGATGTCGAAGAATCTGCACATTTCTTTTTAAGTTTTTCAACAAGATTACCCACTTGGCGCACAACAGTTCCTGGTGGTTGAGCCTGACACTTGTGTGTTCTTTGTGAAACCTTGAAAGATAATTTTCAAATAACATAAGGAGCAGTCAGTATATTAATATTAACAAAATACTATAGGACAACGTTACATTTATTGCTCTGGATGGAGTTGGTCACAACCCAGCTGGTTTTAAATGGTTTCGATTTAATAGTCTATGGCCAAGAATGCCGCACCCACCTGAGACGTGAGATCAAAGTCAGACATATTGCTAATTCGCCTGCAAATTTACAATACGTTGCACCAGTCATTACGAGAATTAATAATTTTTACGAGTTCTCTATTTTTTCTATAATACGATGTTTTTCGTTCATTATGAAAGTCGTTTGTGAAAATGTCTTAAGTGCATATTCCTTAGAGGAAGTCTCCTCGCGGGATTTGAATCCTAGCATACTCTAAGATGTGCTACTCCTCTCCGATCCTCTTTAAACCTAAATTCCTGATAACTTCACCACCGAAATAGGCAGAATGATGGTATTCAACCTTGCGGGTCTACAATATACCATTAAAGAATAAACGTTTTTTGTTAATTTTTCAATTATGATTGCCAATGTCTGGTTGCGTTGGCTTATCGGTTCACTATATCTGTCTACAGTTTATATTCCAGGCTGGAGTCAGTATCTTTGGAACAAATATCCCAAGATTCGTCAATTAGTTGCTTCGTATAAAATCTATGCGCAGAATTCGAATTAAGCTGAATTAAATTTAAATTATATATTAAATGTATTATATATTAATTATATTAATATTCCTATTTTAAATTTGTTAGATAGTATGCGTGTCACACATTTTTCTGTCAGAAGATTTCAGTGCCTAAATTATCATGTTATGAAAAATAACGTGGTTAAAAATAACCGCAAAAACAGCAGTCGTTGGTGAGCTACAATGATACGTGACATGAAGTGTATTCTAGAATGAAATTGATGTTAGCTTATTGATCTTGTCAACAGTAGAGTGACGATTGCGCATAATTCCTTTGCATTTGCTAAATTTGTAGGCTAATAAATAATTCAACTATAGTTCACTTGCCTTGTACCGAAAGCTTTTTTCACACGCCGTACATTTGTAAGGCATAACGCCGGTGTGGATTCTCCTGTGCACTAAATATGAGACTCTTTGACGAAAACATTTACCTGTAAGTTCAAGTGAAGATATGTCACGGTTTTCATACAAACAAGTTTCGTGTCAAAGTTGTAAAGGACCATTTCCGAAACCAAAAGGGGTTTTTTTTTCTATTCGTTTATGCCGAGGAGACCAGCTACGCTAGGACGGGTAGGTGAGCTCACGGGTTCAGCTGAGAAAATTTGTTAACAATAAGCGTAGCAAGAGTAGTGCTTCGCCGAATCTCCCACAGGATCGGAATCGCGACCCACTGACAAAATCCGGCGAAAAAGTGGGCTAAGTCTATGGGTAAATTCGCTCGTTGAACTTTTCGACGACGACGGTGAACAGTGCTTGAGAGACCTAAAAGCGCCGAGAGTGGAGCTGGAGGATCCTACAAGACATGTTTTGGGCGACGGCGGCTGTACGTTGCCCCGTCACCTGGTTAGAGGAACACATTAGACTGTTGGCTAACAAAGCTTGACAAAAATACTTATATATTTAACGCATAATTAATATATTTACGAGCATTATTTTAATTTCTATCGTATTATCAATCTGCTGTCTTCGTTTTCGTGATCGCTTCGAATAAAACTTGTCTTTTCGTAGAATACGATGTTTTTATTTTACATGTCTGGCCGGTCAATGAAAGAGCTCTTTGTATCGTTAGGACGCTGTATGTTTGAAACATCGCTTAAAAATTCTGAATAATTATAATCATATTGGTCTTAAATTAATTTTTGTAATTAGTTATAGAACTAAATAAAAAAGTAAGAACTTACCACAAGTTTCACATGAAAACGGTTTTTCCCCAGTATGTATTCGCTGATGATTATGTAACGTTGAAAGTTCTTTAAAAGCTCGACCACAGTAGTTGCATATATGAGGCTTTTCATCATTATGATACAGAAGATGTTTATGATATGATTGTTGGAACGTAAACGTTTTGTTGCATTGGGTGCAAGCGTACGGCGTTTCTCCTGTATTTATAAAAGAAAATGCTGATTAAATAAAATGGAACACATATAATTTGATATAGGAATGGCGACGTCTGGTGAAGCGCACTACCAACCGAAGTGATGACCACGACCACTCTGCCAAGAGTGCATACGACTGAGAAGAACATATAATTAAAACACGTGAAAGGTTTTTATTGGTTTGAAGACATGTACCAGCCAGTGGTTCACACGATATTTGATTACGGTCATTAATAGCATCAGCAATGCCAGAGGCATAGCCAAACCACCATCTACTGCTGTAAGCTCTTCTCAGACTATGTTTCAAGAGGAACATCATAGCCCTGTAAAAAGCGCTGTAGATGAGCGCAGTGGTTCCTTTTGTTTGGGATAAACTCTGCTCGAAGCGATGCTATAAGGAAATGACGGGATTATCTCAATCAATCTTTGAACGGTTATTTCCATTCAGTAATTCAGTTGTTGAAGAATTTTGATTGCCGATAATTTACTAAATTTTATCGATCATAGAAACACAAAAATAAGTAACAGTGTGCGTTCGTTGCTCAGGCTAGATAATGCGTGATATCGCAGGCGACTACAGTAATGACAATTTTATGTAGGAATATTTGTGGTTTTTGGTTTCGCTCAGTTATGTTTATGCTTGTTCGACTGCCTACGTATGCTAGTAAAAAGAAAATATTTTTTTTCAGAGAGTACTAAAGAAAAAATCTTATCATAAATACCCCCATACTTGAATTAATGTGAATACGAATTGTTTGTTTGCTACCCTTTCATGTTTTAATTACTCAATCATCCGTGATTACTCATCCATGCAAACACGTTATCAGCGGTACGGAAACCAGACGTAGGGTATTTTCTACATAAAGGCAAGTGAAGCCGCGGGTAAAAACTAGTATTTATTAACTTTAACTAATATTAGAAATGAAAGTTTATAGTTCCATCCTAATTTCTGATTTTCTGATTAAACGCGTTACAAATATTCATTAAAGTACCTAAACGTACTACTGTTCCATTTTCTGCGTAGGTGCCTAACCTAGTAAATGAATTACACAGCATGCATTACTGTGCAAAAGCAAGAAGCCATGTAAATATAATATCAGTTAAACATGTAAGCGTTTTAATTTTCTTGCGACAGCTTAAAGTGTTTAGTCTATGAAAGTTGTTAGTATGAATTACCTCAAAACAAACACCAATATAGTATAACCTGTATGGAGACGCTTATGTTTCTTTAGAAAATATTTTGTAGTAAAACATTTTCGACAAACATCACACTGCCATTGCTTATTATCAATTTTAACCATGGCAAACGGTTTATCCTCTTGATCCTTTTCATCACATTTTCCTGATTCGGTTTTTTCTGCAGGACACTTTTTATTTCCCGCCGAAAATCCAAAATGTGCAACTCTTAGATGAACCATCAAAGATCCTCTCATTTTAAATTTCTTTGGGCACAGGTGACACTGGTATGTTGTTATTGTAGAATTTGCATCGTCATCAATATTGTGTATTAAGCATCGGTGCACCTTTAGAATGTTCTCATCGACAAACTGCAGTCCGCAAATGTTGCATGCTGTGTTTGCTTGTAAAACTGCTGATTCGGCTTTTACAAAAACCTTTTCACCTTGTTGTATGCAATCTTTCGATGGGAGTTGTGATATATCTATTATAGGTAAAGTATTTAACGATATAACTGGAAATTTGGGATAAATCTTGACGAACTTCACCGGCGTGTTTACTGTTGATGGTTGAGGTTTATTTTTAGACGTCGACGGTTTTGGTTTCTTCTGTGGCAGTACTAGATCGTGTTTCTTTTTTGGTATAATTTTCACATCACTTACTCGATCCTTATCAACATTTTCGTTCGCTGCCAGAAGCTTAACGTGGCTAAATAAGTGTATAGTTAACTTATCCAAGCCAATGATCTCTTCTTGACAAACTGGACACAAAATTTTATTTGTCGAAACTTGTATTAGCCTATCTCTTAATGATTGTGCCGTAAAAAAAACACCCGACAGTGTACATACTGGGCATGGAAAAGAAGCCACATTAGCACTCATTTTCACGTGCCAATAATACATCGAAATTTTTGAAACGAGATAACTTCAACAAAGACCTGCATGCCACTGCGAAACTACAATCCGAATGAGTTATTTTTGGAAACCGATGTTCATAATCATTCTTTTGGCACCAGTTCAAAACATTTGCTGAAATTTATCGCAATAAATATTCGAATGTGATTTCCTTGTAATCTAGAACTAGCCTTACAAACTAATTTAATGCAATCGGGCTAGTGCTTTAGGAATAATCATGAAAACTTTATAAAGCACTCGCTATACTTTTTTATTGGTCAGTTAATAAAATCTAATTAGGTAATGGTGAAAATCACAAGAATCTACGTAGACCTGCAAACGAATATTTGTACAAAACCCTTTTCGCTACTACTTTTTTGACACCGCGACGGGAATGACGCCAGCTACCTTGAGACACGAGGTGAAAATCTCAATCGGCCCTCATATCATTACGACGGTGTCCCGTCTTTCAAACTTACTGGTGATAGGAACTCTTGTGAGTTCGCGCGGGTAGGTACCACCACCCTGCCTATTTCTGCCGTGAAGCAGTAATGCGTTTCGGTTTGAAGGGTAGGGCAGCCGTTGTAACTATACTTGAGATGAACTTATATCTCAAGGTGGGTGGCGCATTTACGTCGTAGATGTCTATGGGCTCCAGTAACCACTTAACACCAGGTGGGCTGTGAGCTCGTCCACCCATCAAAGCAATAAAAAAAAAGCCATGAAGTATCATAGAAATAGGCAGAGTAGTAGTAGTGCTACCGTGTTTACCTGTGCCAATACGAAAACGAGTACTTCCGACAAACTTACTCAATCTTGTAGTTTTTCGAGGGTTGAATTTTTTCTACATGGTACTCCTTCTTAATGGAAATTATTCTTGACGATGTATTAGATATGTACTTACTTATTTAGTTATTAAAAAAATTGTCCTCTGGATTGAACCATACGGAGTCGCATCACTCAATATGAGTAGGTCGCTAGCGTTATATTCTTAATGGACGGACGCTGCTGAATTCAAGAATTTAGTTGTAATCACATATTATTTTTGTACTCGATTTAAATCTCCCTCTACATCTCATTGGTGTATACGGATGTTAAGGTTAAATCCTGTCGTGATACGACCAGGAATAAAATATGTTTTCCGTTTTCAAGAATATGGTGACCGTTAATCCAAGGAGCCATGAAAATCTCGCTTTGTATCAATAGTCACGACATCAATAATCTTAATAAAGTGACAAATGGTTTGTCTCAATGATTGTGTCGTCTTGGAACGAGTCACATTATTATCAAGCGAACGGATAATAGGGCATGTGCTGAGATTCAAGAACGTGTTAAGTAGTGCTGTTTGGCAGTATTGATCATTTTACAAATAATTTGTATGTATTTTCAAAATAGGCTACAAGGTCTTGTAGCTGTTGATCGTGAAAACATCAAGAGAAAAGGCGGCCTTTACAAAAAATAAAGTGTCAGAGTTCAGACTAATTTACTTTGATTGTCTTGTTGCTACTGCAAGCATAATATATACCGTGCTCTTTGATGTTGTTCACATCTAATTAATATAAATTTATCAAACTCGTAAATATGAAGGAAGAATAGAATAGAAGGTCAGAAGCTATGCCAAAACATTCCAAATAATACTTAGTATTTTCTTTGACTAAAATAATAATAAACTTCTTTGGTTGCTATGTATATAAACTAAGGATTTTGTACGGTTGCTATGTTAATTGTTGACCTGTCGCTATTCACATAAAATCAATTATATAAAATACTTTATTTTAATATTTATTTCAGATATTGTTAGATATTGTATAAAGTAAACTCCAAATTCTTAACAACAAAATGAGTGAACAACGAAAAAACCCGAGTTATATGGCTCAACTATTGGAAAAATTAGGATGGGATCAAGGCATCAGAATTCCATTAGCCAATCCCGGAAATCAAGAATTAGAGACTATTCTTATAAACAGGTAAAATAAATTAGTTAACAATTTTACTATTAATTATTGTGCTGATAGGTCCTGTGATGACAACTAATGACAAAAGTGTTTACTTGTGATAGTATTAATTCTCTGTGTCCTGATTATATTATTCTATTTTGGATTTGGATATCAATATTTGCTAAAATGAAAATTTCAGGCAAAATGAAATTCAGCAGCTTAAAGAATCATTTATACTACAGCAACAAAAAAGAGAGGATCTTAATAAGTATAAGGAGTTTGTGCACTCTGAATATCAAGAGAATACTGTATGTTATAAAATTGATATTTCTTGGCAACAAATGTCAGTGAACATTATAAAAGTCTTTAACATTGATTTTGTATTTCACAGCGCCTCCTATTTGCTCACAAGCAGCAGCTGGAGCAGGAAGTTAAACTACGGCAGTTGGCTTGTAGTGAAACAGATGGACTTGATCGAGGAGTTATTGACTGTCAGAAACAATGCAAGGACATAGGAACTAGAGTTGATAGATTACAAAGTAAATACCTATATTTGACCATAATTATAAATAAATTTTAGTCGAATTTAAAGTACATCTTTAAAAATTATATTTAAATGTGATAAACTCTAAAGCATATCAATATATCTGAATGTGAATGAATCCATAGTTCTAATGAATTTAAAAGACTTTCTCTTTCTTGTACCTGAGTACCAAATATTCTTTTATTCTGGGCATAACATTAACCTGTCAATATAATCGTTAATGTAACTGCTCATTTAAATTTCAGTAAACATTGCTCGTCTGCTAAAAAAGGCTGACACATTGAAATCTGAGGTGTGTGGTGAACGTGGAGCCTTGCAGGAATGGAGAGCTGCTCTAGAGAGAAATTCTGGTGACATTACAGCTATAGAGCAGTTTACAAGACAAGACTTATCTAAGGCTAAAGTATGTAAATGGATATATATAATCTATATAAAAATCTACAGTGGTTTTCACGGATGTTTTGTTATAACTACTGAACCATGCATCCGATTGACTTGAAACTTGGTATCCATATAGAAAATACATGTACTTATTGGATAGGCTAATATTTATATGAGTGTTGGACTCCTTACACCAGTTGCGGGGGCGTTAATGATGAAAAAATTGCTAATACAAAAATGATAGAATAAAGAGGAAAAAAAACAACAGCTGCTGGATATACAAAGCTAAAAATTAAAAAAAACACTTTACAGGCATTAGAAAATAAACGACAGAAACTGAAAGTGGAACATGATCGCATGCATGAGCGTATTAACCAACTTGTATCAAATTTGAATGCCGAGGAGAGGGCTTGTGATAGGATCTCAATTCAGGTATATTTAATGTTATAAGATTTTTTAATAATCAAATCGTATCTGGCTACGGCCATAAGGTAATTAAAGAAGAAGATCTGTTAACTTGTATGCACAAGTGTTTCTTCCCACAGGTGCTATAGATCCACACTTAAATCTAGTGTTATTCTGTTATAAAATAAATATCATTCCTTTTATTATTTTCATTTCCAAAAAGTTACCAACAGTGTTTTTGGATGCAAGTTCATCTACTACTAATGTACATATCAAGTGATTTTTTGTAAGGTAATGGAAGGTATGGAGCAAAGAAAACAAATGATGATTATGTGGAGAGGTGCTGTTGATAATCTGAGGCAGCGTGACACTGACATAAGACACATCAGGGAGGTAATTAAAATAACACATATTATCATGATACAGAATGTTAACTTTTTTTTTCATTGTCCATGAAGGCACATGCATACGGCCTACCTGGTGGTGAGTGGTTACCGTCGCCATGACTTTAGCAAGGCCAGGGGCAGAGCCAAGCCAACTATATAATATATCAAACTATTTGTGTTATAATTCAACATATATGATAGTTATTACTATATATAACGACATATTATATTATTATGAAAGTTATTACCATATATAATGTATAGGTATTGTTACATTTAATCTGAATGATAACCAAGATCTGACTGTAAAACTGTGGAAAGAAAATGTTGCAAAGTTTTCCTGCTACAGTGGTGAAATATGTTCCTTCAGAATGTTCTTGTTGAATTATATTATTAAATATTAAATTATTAAATTAAATCTAGGGTGTAGACACACAATTTGTGCTGTGTGTGCCATCAGGTTAAGCTATTCATAATATGTGATGTGCCTCGGTTTCATTTCCAAATGTTTCGATTATTTTACGGTTTTCATCGGCGACCACGAAAATTACGACAGTAATAAACGTGGTATTAAAATGTAAAAATAGTTTTTATTATGATTCATAATGCTTGAGCAGCAAGTCTATCTGTCCATCCAATATCGCTCATCTTTTTTTTTTATTGCTTCGATGGGTAGACGAGCTCACAGCCCACCTGGTGTGAAGTGGTTACTGGAGCCCATAGACATCTACAACGTAAATGCGCCATCCACCTTGAGATATAAATTCTAAGGTCTCAAGTATAGTTAGTTACAACGGCAGCCCCACCCTTCAAACCGTAACGCATTACTACTTCACGACAGAAATAGGCAGGGTGGTGGTACATACCCGTGCGGACTCGCAACACATCCTACCACCAGTAAACAATCTTAAAACATTATATTATTATTATCGTCTTGATAATCTTCAAACAGAACCGCAAGGGTCGATGACCTACCGACATTACGTAAAGCGTGTTGTTTTAACCAAACTTTTCGTCTTGAAGGATTACGCGGTGTTAGAGGCGGAAGCGAACAAAATCGCGGAGCAGTGTCGCGAGCAGCAGGCGTTCTGTGACCAGCAACGCGGCAACAACGGGGACGCGCAGCGAGACAACCTCGCACTCGCCCAGCGGCTCAGCCACACGCGCCTCGCTCAGCAGCAGCTGGCCGAGCTGAACGCGACCTCGGACAGTGAGGTAAGGTTGCAAATTGAATAACAAGTAAACGTTACATGTGACGTTTTAAATCTAGATCGAAGTAACCTGAAAACGTGTAAATAAATTTTAGGCTAGGATATTTTTTTATTGCTCAGATGGGGGTTCGAGCTCACGACCCACCTGGTGTTATATGGTTACATTACATCATAAATACCGCCACCAACTTTGAGATAAGGTCGGAAGTTTCCGTTTTTTCAGTACAACGGCTGCCCCACCCTTCACACAGAAATGCATTACTATTTCACGGCAGAAATAGGCAGATTGTTGGCATCTAACTACCTATGTAAACTTAGAAAACGTCCTACCACCAGTAATAATTAAAATTACGCAAATTATAATTTTGCGGGTTTCATCAATGTTCTTTCTTCATCGTGGAAGTCAATCGTGAAGATTTCTTAAGTACGTATTTCATTAGAAAAATCGGTACCTGCTTGCGAGATTCGAGCACCGCTTGATACGACTGCATCGGGCGGCTTATCCTTTAGGCCAGTTTAGGCCATGACGACTTCAAATCGTTCTCGCCCTCCAGTCGGATCTGATAAATGTGACAATTTGAACTCTGAGGCTTTTGTTTCTAGAACCTTTTCTTAGGTTTCAAAGATTGGCGTTTATGACTTTTAGATAAAATAACGACTGAGTCTCAAAGAACAAATATTAAACTAGCCGTCGAAAAAAGAGGCTTAACTCTTTCAATAGAACTAATGTAGCGTTTCAAATTATTAAATTTCTAGTTGGTACATGATCAAGTACTCTTCTTACCTAGGAAAGTAAAGTCAATAGGTATTGATTTGCATTTTTTTTTACACAAATTCCAGGCGCAGAGTCTCCAACGTGAGCTGGCGAACTTGAGAGTAGTCCTGGAGAAGCTTCACATGGAGAACCGGCAGATAATGGATGAGCAACATCGCAAAGACTTGGCCATTCAATCTATCAACAGCAAGGTAAATGAACTTGAAAAGACCCGCCGGCCGGCCACTAAACCGTTGTTCAGATCAGATAACTGCGCTCACTGTACTCTCTGTTGCAACCGCCCTGAGAGAAGCCGAAAACCGAAGGAAATGGAAGCTGATGGTACAAATAGCCACGAAGGGACACGACCTTCAGCAATGAAGTATGCGCCTAAGAAGTAGAAATGAACTTGTTCATACTATTTTTAATAACTAATAAAAAAAACAAATGTTCATAAAATACTTACCGCAAAATTTCTCCGATTCTTCTTACATTAATCGTATTGTAATAATTACAGATTAGTGATCTTAAAGAAAAATTAACGGAGTCTCTCGATAAATCGAAGTCGTCAGAGAAACGAGCCAAAGAACTAGAAGATATGTTGAACGTAAGTGTACTTAGTATGAGTTTTTATTTATTTATTACCCCAAAAATTCAGTTCTGCAGTATACTTACGTCAATTTCATAATGATAAAAATTCTCATTACAAAATCTCTAAATATAATGCGTTAAAGTTTGTAGCCCTTTTGAATGATTTTGGGGTTTCTAAATTATGATGACATTAAAAACATAAATGCTCTCTTAAGTAAACTATTATGCGGTATGATTATGCTCATCATGTGGATTGAGATTGGGACTAGCAGACAACCGGTATTCAGTTCTAATGAAGTCTAAAACTATTATATCTAACTACGCTTGGGTTTAGGTCTTGGGTGAATCGAGATTTATACCCAGTTCTGATAGATTCTGCCTAGTAGCCTAAGGGGCTAGTTACGCACTGGCTGGTTGGTGAGGTTGGATCTCAGTCTCAGAGAGTTGGTAACACTGGTCGTAGCAATAGAAGTGCTCCGTAAAATCTACCACCTGATCGGAATCGCAACCCACTGAGAAGATCCGGCGAGAAACTCAGTGGGTTACTCTAGCCATGTTGTACGCTGTAGACTTAGCAAATGCCACCAACCAACCAAGACAGGTTCCAATTTTTTTTTATTCTAACAAAATTAATTACCATACTGTGTTTATTAAATGTTAAGTACATTATAAATATTTACATAGTGAAGTGTTTGTATGTAAGATTTATATAATTATTCACCAGGCCACGAATGAAGTAGGTATGTCTGTTGTAGGAAGAAGAACGCTATGCAAGTCAGCTAACTGCGAATCAACAACGTGCCATGCATTGCTCTTTTGTGGAGCAACAAAAGTTTCTGACGCTCAAAAACGAAGAGAAACTCTTCCACATGCATTTGAAAGGTAAACTACAGGGTGTTGTTTATTGCTTCGGAAGGCTAAATACCGAACTATATAACTGCGAACTATATACTACCAAACCTGTATATAACCAAACTATATACTATATAAACTTAAAATAAATGACACATATTATGTACTTTTGTTCTAAATTTAATTGATTGCATGATCGTGGTGCCTGGACAAGGTATCAATTACCAAGTAGCTTTATGTTTATGTCAGCAACTTGTCTGTGTCTTTGGCATTGTTGAAGTCCATGAGCGACTGTTGTTACTTAGCACCAGATGAGTCTGACTTCTGAGGCAAAAAATAATTGAGGGAATCCCCAATGTTTTTGCATTTAGGGCTGTATGCCCATTTTAAATGTTAAAATCTTTGCCCACTGCCACCAATAATAAAAAAAGTATCTCATGTATCTTGTACGATAGTGAAAGTTTATATTTTGTGTAAACACACATTTTGCTACTTAAAGATTGAGTCAGTGAATATTTGTAAAACGTTAGAAGGCAACTTGATGGACACTATTGTTTCAAACTCGATTTATTTTAGCGTCGAAAGCAATCTTGAGCAAACTGGAGACGAAACAACGGAACCTCTTGAAGACTCTACAGAGCCAAAAGGAGTCTCTGTACGCTATTGTAAGAATGAATTTTGTTCGTTCTTTTATGAAATATGTTTTTTTTTAATTTGCTTCACACAACCAGACTTGTTTACGGTCAACCGCGTATAAATAGTTTCCAGTTTTGTTTACTTGAGATATTATATGAAGGTGCACAAAAATATGTAGATACACTACAATCCAGTGAGATTCTTGGCTAAAGAAGGTTTTTTGTTGGGATAACTTCTATGGAAACGTTGTTATTTGAATGTCAATCGAAAAGCAATACTAAAAAGAGACAAGTCGTCTATAGAATTTAGCCTATGAGAGAACGAGATGGGATATTTCTGAAGGTTTCATTTTACAGCGTGTGAATTGCACGCATGTTTTTTATTGCTCGTGATAGGTAAATGATTTTTACGATCAACATTAAGTGGTAGTCAGAGTTCAGGGGATCACAATTTGATTACCGCCGCCCATCTTGAAGTATGAGGTCGAAGCCACATTAAACAGTTTTTCGTTTAAATTAGTGTATTGTTTTCAAATTCGGGAATTTCTATCTTTTATCTGAAAATACTCTAAATATTTTAAACTAGCTGAACCGGCAGACTTCGTAGTGCTTCAATCGATAAATAAAAGACCTAATCTTTTGTATAAAATAAACTTAAAACAAACAAAAGGAAAAACAAAATTGTTATTTTTATTTAATTCCGAGCATTTTCATATTTATCTACATTTTAAACCTTTTCTGGACTTCCACAAATAATTCAAGACCAAAATTAGCCAAATCGGTCCAGCCGTTTTCGAGTTTTAGCGAGACTAACGAACAGCAATTCAGCTATATACATTTTATTATACATTTTAATGTATTATAGCATTGTTTGATTTTAGTGTTACCAAGTGGAGACATTGGGTGCTCGTGTCTCGCACATGGAGGGGGCGCAGGCCGAGAGGGAGTGCTCCGCTGAATTAATGGAGAGGGAGAATAGGTGAGATAGGCTGCTGCGGAGATATTCAGGAATTTTCCAAACTACCCTTGATGAAAGTTTTGAAAAATAACTTGCCATTTTAGATTAAAAGACGTGTGCTCTCGGCACGCGGCCCGCGTGGCGCTGCTGGAGCGGCACTCCGCGAGGCTGCACGACGACATGCGGCGGCTGGCCAAGGATCTCGAGGCACAGAGCGTGGAACACGTTAAACTGGTACACTGCAATCTTTACACAAATGTTAATTAAAAAAAATATGTGGCTGTGTTTATAAATTGATCTTGTTCGATTCTTGTTAGCCATTTAAATACGTTATTTTTGAAGTGAAACTTCTAATGCGACTTACAACAAGGTTGCGTTAAACTTTTAACGCTATCATACTAGAAAGAAACAAAGCGAGAGTGAATGCGTGGTACTTGTGTACGCGTACGCGTAGTATACCTACCTGTTACAGGCCAGGGCGAACGTTGGCAACGAGTAGCGTCCAATATTTTAATGAAGTATTTAAAAAATATATATCTCTTACACAGCATTCCCTATTACAAGAGCAATCAGATTTAAGGATGAAAAACGAAGAAAACCACAATACTAAACATCAAAAAAGAAGTTTTACTTCATGCACCGTTTTTTATTTATTTAAATTTAATTGCAGATGTTTTCGTGAATGTTTATTGCTGGTCGTTTATCGTTAACCTGTCATCTGGCGTCCACAGCAAAGTCGTCTGAAAACATCGGTGCTGAACGTTGAGGGCGGCGAGAAGGAGCTGCGCGAGGCCCGCGAGGCGTGGCGGCGCGCGCGCGTGGAGGACGCGCTGCTGCGGCTGCGGGGCGCGCACGCCGCACGCGCGCTCGCCGCCGCCGACGGCGCCGCCTACTCGCTCGACCGACAGCGCCTGCAGCTGCACGCGGTCAGTGCGCCGCCTCCAACTACACATGTCGTCTTCTCGCATTAAAACTCGCATAGAAACAAACTGGTGGTAGGACCACTTGTGAGTCCGCGCGGGTAGGTACCACCGCCCTGCCTATTTCTGCCGTGAAGCAGTACTGCGTTTGAGTTTGACAGGTGGGGCAGCCGTTGTAACTATACTGAGACCTTAGAACTCATATCTCAAGGGGGGTGGCGGCATTTTTGTTGTAAATGTCTGTGGGCTTCAGTAAATTATTCGATACAGTAGAAAGGATTTTAATTTTTAATTTACGATCATCATCATCATCATCAGCAGCCTTTATCTGCCCACTGCTGGACATAGGCCTTCCCCAATGCCTTCCACATAATGCGGTCCTCCGCCTTCCGCATGCAACGACTTCCTGCCGTGCGCACTAAGTCGTCAATCCACCTGGTTGGAGGTCGCCCCACGCTCCTGGTACCCATCCGTGGCCTCCATTCGAGGACTTTCCTCCCCCACCTGGCGTCGCTGTCTCGACAGGTTTGACCGGCCCATTGCCACTTTAGCCTGCTAACTTTGAGAGCTATGTCGTCGACTTTGGTTCTCCATCGAATTTCTTCGTTCCGGATTTTGTCCCTTAGAGAAATACCGAGCATAGCTCTCTCTATGGGCCAGCCCTGCCGTCAGTGTCCAGGTTTCCGCGCCGTAGGTCATCGCGGGGAGAACGCACTGGTTTAAGACTTTTGTCTTCAGGCATTGAGGAATTTGCGAGGCCGGGATTGCACGAATTTTCCCAAATGCCGACCAACCCAGTCGTATGCGTCTCTCAATCTCTGTATTGAAGTTACCCCGGCCAAGCTGGATAGCCTGACCGAGGTAGACAAAGTCTTTTACCTCTTGAATGACTGCATTCGAGATGGTAACTTGGCCCTGGACGATTTGATCATTGAACATGACTTTCGTCTTGTCAAGGTTCATCCGCAGTCCCACGCATCGGGAAGCAGCATTGAGATCGTTGAGCATACGACTGAGGTCCTCCAGCGATTCCGACATTATGACTTTGTCACGCCTCACCATCCTCCGGACGGCCTTATTTAAGATTGCGTACTTTGCTGTAGCTATTACGGATGGAGTGGCTTCTCGTCGTTTCCTCATTAATGCCAGAGTCTCAGGGGTTAGCTTGGCTTCACGAACTCTCCGCGGTGATCCAAAGTATCTTCCGCCAACTTCACGTAGTGTCGCCGTCGTATTCTCCACCACGTCGTTCACATCCTCAGTGGGATCCAGCAGACTAAATCGATTTTGAAGTTCCAATTGGAATTTTTCGGAAACTTGTATGATTTGGGGAAGAGACGAACGCAGAGTCGATCTCATCAACCGGGTTCTTTCAAGCCTTCTGTCGATATTTAGAGTTCCTCGAATAAGTCGGTGGTCACTGCCAGCACTAAACCTGTTGACCACTGAGACATCCGTAAATATTCGCTTCTTATCCGCCATGATGAAATCGATCTCGTTCCGTGTCACTTTGTCGGCACTTTGCCAAGTCCATCTCCTTTGGGGCTTCTTTTTGAAAAACGAGTTTATCAAATAGAGGCCCTCCATCTGCAGAAAATTGAGAAGCATTTGTCCTCTGTGGTTTCTCGACTCCAAACCATACCGTCCGATTATGGATTCGTCTTTCCCTTGTACTCCCACTTTGGCGTTGAAGTCGCCAACTACAACGGTGAATTAGGTCTTGGTGGTGTTATGAATGGCCTTAGAGATGTCTTCATATAAGGCCTCAACCTCACAATCAGGGTGTGTCACCGTTGGTGCATACACTTGCACGACCTTGAGTAAATATATCTCTGAGATTTTAACTACAATGTACACCACCCGCGCCGACACAATCGATAGCTCCACGACGTTGTTAGCGATGGCTTTGTGAACGATGAACCCAACACCACCCCGAGAGAGCTGGTCTCCTTCGCGGTAGTAGAAGAGGTTTCCAGACTCGAGGATGACGGTGTCCTCGCCCTCTCTACGGACCTCCGAAAGTCCAAGGATATGCCATTTAATGGATTTCAATTCTACTTCCAGCTCTTCCACATCTTCATCTCGCTTCAAAGTCCGGATGTTAAACGTGCCAATGGTCAGTTCTTTATGGTGGCCTGCCGACCGGGGATTCTTCGCACCCCCTGCCCTACCGTTACCGTGACCGCCACCGTGGCCAGGAATTGTAGAGCTGCCGGGTACTAGGGGCCGTAGCATTTTGTGTCTTGTCATTGGGAAGTTTGTGCCCTTAAGTCACCACGCTGGGCATGCGGGTTGGCGACTAGGAAGTACTAGGATACCATTTTGTAAATATTTTTAAGAACAAAGTCGTTTTTTAAATGTAAGTACATAACTAAATTTAATAATTAATATTAGAATTTGTACTATCGCAGGCAATGAACGAGCGACTGGTCGAGATCAGGGCGCGGCAGGACATGTTCAATGTTCAGAAACGTGCTCTGTTCGAAGATTGCGGGAAGCTGCGCTCTGAGATACGCGAAAGAGAACAACGCATCGAACAACTTAAGAAAAGGTGTTGTTTTCGTAAAATTTTTTTGCCGACGCCGTGTGCGAAAAAAAACGAACAATAATTATATATTAAACAAATATGTTCTGTTATATGAAAAATTGAGCGGAATGAAATGATTTATTTGATATTGTTTTCAATTGGAACAGATTTAAGTGAGGAGATGGGATGAGATGTATGGATGTCCCAGTAAAATTGTGAGAGTGGACTAAAATTACGTTGGAGGTTTTAGAGGAACCAAAAAGCCATATCCAGCGAGCGACTTTATTTTGTTTTCCCATATTTGTGTACTTTCGCAGATGGCAAATGGTTAATAAGCCACCATAATTCCACGTGAAGCAGCGCTAAAATCACACAAGTTCGTTCGTCGCCTCTTTTTTTAATTGCTTAGATGAGTGGACGAGCTCACAGCCCACCTGGTGTGAAGTGGTTACTGGAGCCCATAGACATCTACAACGTAAATGCGCCACCCACCTTGAGATATAAGTTCTAAGGTCTCAAGTATAGTTGCAACGGCTGCCCCACCCTTCAAACCGAAAAGCATTACTACTTCACGGCAGAAATAGGCAGGGCGGTGGTACCTACCCGCGCGGACTCACAACACGTCCTACCACTTGTAATCACCGCCTTTCTATCATAAACCCTATAAACTGGACCCTTAACCCTTTGAGCGCGAACCGTCGATAGATCAACTCGCTGTTAATGCTTATAAAGTGCGGAGCGTCGGAATACCGACTATTGCGCAATTTGATTATAGGTATTAGGTATCGACCTGTACGGACGTGTCTTAACGTGCGCACGTATAACCTTTTTAATAAGGTGATAACATTTATAAATAACCATTTAAAATTATTTTGCTGTCAATTTAGCATCAATTTTTGCATTATATTTAAGTTTAAGGTTTTTTATAAAAAAAAAATTTTTTATATTTAGATATTTGTGCCAAATAAGATAAAACAAGTCCAGCACTAAAAGGTTTAATGTACCGATGTTGTTCTGGCATCGGAATGATCATCATGAGCACATGTCTTTGTTTCAGATACGACATATTTATCGGTTCGCTCGGCAAAGACGAGTCCGGCGAGCAGCTCTCGGTCACGTTCTTTAAGATTAAGGTAATCCTGAGTCGAATTGGCGATGGCTTCACATTCTGTAATAAAAATGCTACTTTTTTTTCTTGACAACGTTTAAAGCCAATATGTTTTAGTAGTGGCATATTTTATATATATTATGTTACTAACCAAGTCCGCCCACACTTTAATTGTATATGTAATACACAAAATAAAGAAATATGCAGTGTCTTTGTACTTATAGGTTGTGAATTTGAATATGAATATGAGGTCGTTATGACATTTGTACGTGACTGCACCACCGTAGACTCTTTCACTTGATCTGATTTTTCATCAGTATAAAAAAATATATCAGTTATTTCATCAAAAGCTACGAAAAAAAAATTTTTATGCATATTTTATAATACCATGAAACATTACACCGTTTTAACACTTAATTAAGTGGATTTAAGAATCTATCACATAAGAACACGCTATATATTCCAAACAAAATCAATCCGTATTTCCTTATTGGTGTAAATCAAGAAGGCCACAAAATAAATCTCGTTGCTTTTCCAGCAAACAGCACGTGTTGCTATGTTCGACTTCTTACTTTAGTGTCATACTAACAATCGGCTTCAGTCGGTGTCGTCAGCGTCAGAGTCGAGGGTATTTCGAATTAAGTATAGAAGGTCCTGCGTGCTTAGTGCGAGTTTTTTAACGTTATCGATAGCGTTAAAGTTCATTCAAATTTGCATGGAGTTGTAACTATTATATCTCTGTACTGAACCCTAAAATGCGGATACCCTCGAACCGCTGACTAGACGGTTCGAGGTAGAGACTAGAGGAGACCGGAGAACAGTCAGTGAACTGTCTTAGAGTACGGGTGCGGCTAGCGAGGTTACTCTGAGAGTGACATATATCATCTATATTGTATAAATCAAATAAAATAGTTCGTATTCTAAAAGTTTCCTTTTTTAAAACGACCTCAGAGTAAATTCCCAAAGCAGAACGTTCCCCTACATTTGCCACTAGAGGTGCTGTTCAAACTGTATACAAATTCGAGTTAACTTTTACGCTAACGAGAACGTTAAAAAATCCGTACTAAGCACACTGGTCACTGTCGGCCCATATCCGATCCTGTGGGCAGAATGGAAAGCAGTCGACGTCGAACAAAACACGTCATTTCGGATCCTCCCGATCCACTAACGGTGCTTGAGGTACCTCAAGCATTGGTCATCGTTCTCGTCGAACCCGTCGCAAGCGAGTAAATTAACCCACAGACACAGCCCACCGAGTTTCTCGCAAGATCTTCTCAATGGGTTGCGTTTCCGTCCGGTGGTAGATTCTGCGAAGCACGGCTCTTGCTAGGGTTCGTGTTAGCAACGCCTTCAGGTTTGAGCCCCGTGAGCTCACCTACTAGTTAATGTTACGCTGAAATAGCCTCTCAAGGCTATCAGCATAGGCAGGAATAAAAAAAAGAAAACTGTCGGCCCCAGATGGCGGCGGCTCGCGCGGAGCTGCGGGAGCGCGGTGCGGCGCTGGACGCGGACGTACGGCGCCGCGAGCGGGACGTGGCCGCGCTGGAGGCCGCGCTGCCGCTGCTGCACGCCGCGCATGCGCACTTCATGCGCCATCTTTCACCGCTCGACAGCGACGGTACACGCACACCCCTACGTATAACGACACTAGTATTTGTTTACGAAACCAAACACGTAACTATGTTCGTATGTTCGTATATATTGCCTGATGAGACTCCGTGCTACGACTTTTAATAAAAAAATATTTATTGCTATAAGTGATAGACCCATAGACATCAACAACGTAAATCCACGAACTAACATTGAGACATGAGCTCTAAATCTCACAGTAAAACAGTTGCCCCACCCTTCAAACGAAACGCATTCCTGCTTCACGACAGAAGTAGGCAGAGCGGTAGTAATTACCCGTGCGGGCTCACAAGACACCACTACAAAGCCACACCTAAGACTTTTTGCTCAACAAAGTAAAAAAATATTTTTTTATTACAGCCCCAGAAATTGAAGAACTGAATGATCTGTCGAAGAAATACTATGAAATGCGGGACGAACTAAAGTCTTTGAATGCGAGAATCGCGGACCTCGAGCCGAGCACCGCCGAGAGCGGCGCGCAGCTGACGGCGCTCATCGACAAGTACAACAAGCTTAATAATAAACTGTGAGGATTTTATAGTTAAATAATTTAATACACTCATATGTTATTATATCGTTTATTTCTCAAACGAACCGGTACAGCAAACAACTTAGCTGCTTAACGTGAAGAAAGTAGAAAACGTTCATTCATTCATTCGGAATTTACGAACGAATGAGCGCTTGAACTGACGAATGACGGAATTTTGATCAAAGATTACCATAACCGCTCTGAAGAAAATGAAATTATTAAATAAAAAAAAGCAATCCCAGGACGTGACGCCAAATGGGTCTTGCCATGTTTGTGTGTGCTGCGAATCGATATCAATCTCGCCTTTACTTTTCAAAAGACAGGTATAGCTTGATTCAGATTAAATCAAGGTTTTGCCTTTATAACTTAAAGGAGTCGGTTGCGTTCAGAATGTGCTGTAATTGACGGGCTTATACCGCCAAGGTAACCTCAAAAATCGAAGAATGTACTCTCGGCCTAAATATTGACGAAAAAAATAATTAAATTCACATGAGCTTGTAGGTAGGAAAGAAACATATTTTCTCGATTCGTCTTATTCGAATTTCAAAGTTACCCCTTTAACTTGCAAATAAATGAATAATGTATTGAATGATTAGTTCTATTGTCATCACAACAACAGCCTAAGGGTCAATTCCCACTGAAAGAGCAGCGGCCGGCAGCGTCTTTTTGAGGCAAAATATTACAAACTATTTTGAATCTTATCTACGTGATTAAAAAGTTCATAGTCATTTGAAGGCAAAGGAGGGGTAGCGTGGCGTCGCAAGGCTGCACGAGCCTTCTACCGACTAGTCAAAAGAGGCGCCGTGCGGCTGATCGCGGCGCAGCTAGCTGACGTGCGGCCGACCGCGGTGCAGCTGACAGACTCGCGGTTGCGCGCGAGCGACCATTTCATACCCGCCCGCCCTGCCACTTGCGCATTTCGGGTCATTTTATTAGAGGGTATCTTGTTCTTCTTCTACAGCCAGTGCTATGATACATAAATCCAAATCCACCATATTTATTGCCACACAACTTTCCTTGGGTGAAGTAGATCGCACACTAGTTTTCAAAGCTACCACGCGGAGGCTCATTGCGGCGCCTCGGGATGCCGCGCTGCCTCTCGCGGCGCCGCACTGCCCCGCGCGGCGCCACATTGCCCCTTGCGGCGCCGCGCTCAGTCACTTGCTCTTACGGCCGCTGCGCGCCGCTGCTCTTTCAGTGGGAATTGACCCTAATAAACATAATGTCACCTTGAATTTATGTCTTTTTTTATTATTAAATTCAAGGTTTGTTTTTGTTCCAAAACACGGGTTGCTGTGCGTATTGAAAAAAACATAACTACAATAAAATAAGAGCTTTAAATAAAAAGGAGAAAAGTATACATTTTTATGTACTTATTTTCTGTAAAATTTTATAAAAGATAAAGTTTAAAATTCAAAAGGAATTCAGTGTTATAAAATAATTAAATTTTTCATAATATTGTAGCGAGTAAGCAAGTACTTACACCCGACTAAAGGCAGCTCCGCATCGTATAACACCTGCGTCATATCACCCAAACGTTTTGTACCGGCCAGTACCTATTATTATATAGTTTTTGTATTTAAGTACGTGGAGTTTTATATTGAATTTTATGCTACCTTAAAAATTATCTTATTAGTGATATAAACATTTGGACCCTAAAATACTGAGATTACACAATCGTTCAACCCTTATTTAACCTCACCAAGGTGAAAATTTAAAAAATCTTTCTTCAATGGACGCTTATTATATAAAAAGCATCAAATTTCATTTTTTTTTTTGAGTAAGCGAAGATGACTCTGTCAGTACGGACAACTAATTACCGTAATTTTCGGACAGGAATGAGGTTGAGCAAGATTTAGAGATAGGCAGAGAGCGCATGCGCCGCCAGCAGGACCGCCTGCAGACCGCCCGCGAGGTCGTCAGACAGAACGCGAACCGCGCGCGGAAACTGATCGACAACGAGACGGACTGGCGCGTCTTCCAGGTGCTCTCCAGTTCTCATTGCGTACACTGACCTCATCACACACACATACCCAGGCACATAATAGTTATGATTAACAGTTTTAGAAGTTGTCGTGGCCTAAAAGATAAGACGTCAGGTGCATTCGTGTTGAGCAATACACTGGTGTTCTAATCCCGCAGGTGGGTGGTACCAATTTTTGTAATGAAATACGCACTCAACGAATATTCGCGATTGACTTCTACGGTGAAGGACTAACATCATGTAATAAATATTAAACCCGCAAAGTTATAATTTGCGTAATTACTGGTGGTAGGAACTCTTAAGCACTTAAGAAGCAGTAATGCGTTCCGGTTTGAAGGGTGGGGCAGCCGTTGCAACTATATTTGAGAATTAGAATTAATATCTCAGGGCGAGTGGCGCATTTAGGTTGTAGATGTCTATGGGCTCCAGTAACCACTTAACACTGGGTGGAATGTGAGCTCGTCCATCCATCTAAGCAATAAAAAAAAAGTATTCACTTACACGGAAATCTTTTTTGATTCGTATTTCCTTAGGAAATTTTGGTGGGTATTTGTAAAAGTCTGTAAAGGATTGCTTACCGCGCAGATGTCGGTGTGGACCCGCGAGTGCACCGAGACGTGCGTGCGCGTGGTGCAGGCGGCGGCGGGCGCGGCCGCTCGGCCCCCCGCCCGCGCCCGCCTCGCCGCTGGCCTGCGTCCGCTGCTGCACGCGGCCATCACGCCCGCGAGACTCCGGCGGGCCATAGACAGGTACTGCTCACCTATGCCGACCTGAGATTACACGTCCTTACTAATCACGTCCTTGCGGATCCATCAGATCCAATAACCTTTGCATTAGACGCCTTCAGCTCTAACACTAGGAGCAGGCTTAGGGACCCCGGTAACCGTACTCGTCGAACTCGACAAAGAGTTCGCCGTGCAACCTAACCCATATAATCAGCTCGCTGAGTTTCTCGCTGGATCTTCCCAGTGGGTCGCGATTCCGATCCGGTAGTAGGTTCATTCGCGAAGCAGCTGCTCTTGAGTTGTTAGGTCTCCTTCGGAGGCGCTCAGGCAGCTGTTAGCAAATCCCACCCCTCCTGGCTGAGCCTTTGCTCGTCCACCGATCCTGGTGAAACTGGAAAGGCCTTCGGGCCACCAGTAATCCTTCAATCCTTAAAAAAAGGTACCAAACTAAGGTACCAAAACTTGTTGCGGGCACCAACTAAATACCATTTTTTTTTTTAAATTAATACATGCTTAAGATGCTTTCTCAAACGAGAACTAACGGCGATAACTGCGTAACGGTAAAGTAGTATAGTAAGCGGCACGTAAGTTGGCAAGGTTTTGGTGTAGTGGGGGTAATGTCGCGCATAGTGCACATTGCAACAAAAAAATTGTAAATTTTATTGCCCGCATATAATTTAATTTTATTTTATTAAATTTTTTATTTGCCATAATTTATTTTTAAACCTGTGTGTTTAGAAGAAAGTTAAAGAAAAGAGAGGAATTCGTGAAGTGTACTAGGTGTTATAAATAAAATACAATTAAAAGTTAAGAAGTTTATATTAAAAAATATACTTAATATTAAAAATTATTTGTCGCCGTCGTCACTATCATTTTCTAATAGAGCTACCCCTTGAATTAAATTTATGGTAGCACCTGAGCTGGTGGAAGGAGTTGGCTCCCATCGTCGACATAACGAAGAGTCGCTGTCGTCACTGGCGTAAATAATAAAACGCTCAGTGACTGAATCGACTAAATGGTCATTGGTATTTGGTCCTGGCATTGCAAACAAACGTAAAACAATAACACTCGTAACAAAAACTAAATTTAAAACAATAATAACAACTCGTGACAAAAACTTAATATAAACAAAGGGTTCCTACAACTTTAGTAGGCGCATGTGTAACCGGGAGCGAACGGAACGTGGACGCGGTGAGGGAGGGGAGGATCGATTGACTCACCAATCGCGCGCTCGAAACAGTGCTACGTCTTTCCCCGCGCCCCGCTTGATAACCAAAGACATCTAAAAAACGACTTCTGCGCATCTAGCGACTTTTGCCAAGTTACGTGCCGGGGACTATAACAATGGAAGGGCGTGTTATACACAACAACGTCGTCCAACATTTCCGTATAGCAATCATGAGTTATATTAACCGGCAAACTTCTTGAGCAAATGACCTTGACTGCGCAGAACCGAATTTTAGATCACTTTGGTGGGGAGGGTGAGGCGCGACGGCAGGGGAAATCGTATCGAGCGCGTTATTGGTAGATCAGTCGAACCTTGCGTCCCGCACCGCGCCCTCGTTCCGCTTGCTCCCAAAAGTACGCTTGCGTACAGTGAAAAGTCTATCGTTATTAATCGTTAAGTTATTTGTTATAATTGCTTGTTGACTTTGTTGCCATTGCTATTTGTTGAG